AACACGAAAAATGATTACTTTATTAGTTAATTATGTAGAATCAAGCCAAATCGATTGATAATATTTGTTGAACGTTTGGATATATTTCATGCGTAGAAAGTGCTACTATAAAATGCAATTGAAATGTCTACAACAATGATTGTCAAACTCTATTATATACCTGTCCTCTTCTTTTTCGACATGAGAATTTTTCTCTTACTTGGGGAAAATATAATTCCACATACAAGCAGACCATGCATTTTAAAGCAAATTTCGAGAGAACTAAATCCAAATTGAATAATGAGCAATTCGTGCATCTTAATACCTTAATTTCGAGAACTTGATGAAAGGTAAAATGAATTTGTTAATCTCTAAAATCTTTTACATAAGGTCTAAAATGTTCTACTACTATATACTCTTACTATTGCTAATCTAAGTCTAATGTTGGAATTTTGTCTGCAGTATGCTGTATTTTTATGTCATTACAAGTAGTTTCCTTATCATAGAAAAACCTATAGCTGGCATTTGTCTTATAAACTAGTGCTACTAAACCAATTTATTATATGATCTTAACTTGTCATTTGTCTTCTAACAATCTGTTCTTGCTTAATTACTTGTGAAGCACTAGGAAATTGTGGCTTATTTCTTTTCAGATATGATAATTTCTTCTCAAAGTTGCTCATGAAATGATTCCGACTTACGGTCAGGCCTCTTTATAACAACATCCCTATATAACAATCATTTACTATAAAAGTCAAATTTTCCTTAGAACTGATTTTCAAAAATTATATTTTACCTTTCTATAATAACTTTTTATCAATAACAACAACAATCATATTTATAGTAGAATGCTCTTTGTAAAATTATCCCTCTATAATAACTATATAGAATCTTTAAGATTACTAATAACAATTCTACAAATATGCACACAATCTTTTCCATTGAACAAAGTTTCTATCTTGCATAAGATACAAGTTTTGAAGATTTGCGCATGAAATATTTTACATTGGATACCTTTTTGCTAAAAATTTGGACACGAGTCTTCGTCAATTCAAGTGTTATATCGGTAGTAAGAGAATGAAATTTACGAAACAGCTACAATTAAAAAGTTCTTCAATCAAACTTGAAAGAATTTATTTTCCTAGTAGCATTAAAATTTGTGCCTTAGAATTTAAGTCTTTGTACGTTTTAATGAATTTATTAATAATGTATTAGCTTTCTTCAATATATACCTAGTGAAATATGCATATCTGAGATTTTAAATTTGAAGAATTTTCTTATCTTTTATATGCAACATCAAAAAAAGAAAAATAATTGATTTTTGGATAAATTTTATCTATAACAACCAAAAAAATATTTAAATTTATAGGCGTGTAACAATCGTTCGCTATAAAAGCCAAAAAATCTCGGAACAAACGACGTTGTTATAAAGAGGTTTGACTGTATTTGGAATTAAGGTGTAGTTGATTCATTGAAAGGTACTAACAAAAGCGTCCAGCTGAAATTCTCTAAACTTTGCTGATGATTTCTTTTATTAAAGTATTGGCTTGGAACAACGGTAAAGTTGTCTCCATGTGACCGCCTATAGGTCACGGGTTAGAGCCGTGGAAGCATCCACTAATGCTTGCATTAGAGTAGGCTGTGTACGTCACATCCCTTGGGTACCCTTGCGTGAACGCGTGATTCCTTATGCACCGAACTGCTCTTTTACATTAGTATTTAGTAGTAAAAGTTCATGTAGTGTACGTGTATAACCATCTATTTTATCTTGAATATTCTAACATAGCTCATATGACCCACAGTTTGAACTGATGAACTAGAATAAGCAAGGCCAAAGCCAAGGCCTAGGATTTTAGAAACCATAGGATTAATATATAACGGTGGACCTTCTTGTAACAATCCAAAATTTAGTTAGCATCACAATTTTATGTTTAGCTTATTCTGTTTGACAAAGAATAGGACGAATAAGCTTATTAGCAACCAGGGGCAGACCCACGTGGTACTAAGCGGGTTCAGTTAAACCCGCTTCATCAAAAAATAGTACTGTATTTATTAGCATTTTATGCTTAAAATAGGAAAATTACGTATATATTATATTAATTGAATCCACTTGATGCAAACATTATTGCTGTTTAGATGGTCGTGCGGGTTCAAAGATATAGGGAGGGCGCATGTTCGACTCAGGTTCACCCTTCTTTACAAATTTTGTGATTTTTCCTTTTCTGTTTGTATTTCGATATAGAATGTGCAGTTGTCAATCAACCAGTAACCACCAATTACATCTATTTTGTCTTTTCTCTATTTTACTTTATATTTTAAACTTAATTCATACAAATCAACTTTGTTTAACTTTAAAAATTAAACCTTTCTACAAAGTAATTTTTAATTTTCTATTTCATAAATTTAGCTAAACATGCAAGTATATTTGATGAAATTTTATTTATAATTTGTTAGTTTATGTTGAAATTTTTTATTTGTGTATATTAAAATTTTTGGTTTAATGCATAAAGCCTCTTTCTTTAATTATTGGTATTAATTTATTTAAGATTGTAACTCGTTTTATTGTCCTCTACTTGTAAATAATACCTTCTTAGTTATAAACACAAAAGGATTCAATATTCCGTCAACTGTTATGGAGTTGATAAAATTTTTAATTGGTTAAATGATTTTCTTGTAAAGTAAAATTTGCTAAATTAAATAGATAAGAGTGTTCGATGAAAAAAAGATAAATTATTTAAAAGAAATTAGGAGGAAATAGTCTTCATACATTTAAAAATACCAAAATTTGTAAAATATATCGTGCACTCACTTTTAATTGACTTACTTTAACCTCACACTATAAAGAAAAGAGACAAAAAAGGAAGAAAAAAATTTACTAACAAGGATGCTACCAAATTCTATCTCTCATGTTTTATAACTAAATTCTGTGTTCCGAAGCCTTAAATATCTTGATTTAGCTTTTTTCGATTTGCGTGCGCGATCCGCGTGTTTTTCCGGAAGGCTTATATGAACTGATAAAAACAAGAATTTTTGCCTTAAAAGTTAAATTGAATTGACTTCGGTCAACGTTTTGAGTAAACGGACCCGAATCCATATTTTGACGGTCCCTGTGGTTCCGTATCGTAATTTGGGACCAGGACGTATGCCCCGAATCGAATTCCGAGGTCCCTAGCTTGAGATATGAATTTTAGTTGAAAATTGCGAGATTGAAAATTTAATGGTTTTAAGAATTTTGTTAATGTTTGTTCTCGTTGTTATCGGATCCATATTTTGGTTCTGGAGCCCGGTACAGGTCCATTATAATATTTAAGACTTGTCTGTGAAATTTGGTGAGAAACGGAGTTTGTTTGACGTGATTCGGATGTTCGGTTGTGAAAATAGAAGTTTTAAAGCTTTCTTGAAAATTTCATTTGATTTGGTGTTCAATTCGTAGTTCTAGGTTTTATTTAGGCGATTTGATCGCGCGAGCAAGTTTGTATGATATTTTAGGAGTTGTGTGCATGTTTGGTTTGGAGCCCGAGGGCTTGGGTGAGTTTCAGATAGGCTATGAGGTGTTTTGCACTTAGAAAATATGGTATTATGCTACTGGTGTTCTGGTGCGCGCATTCGCAAAGGGGATCTGGGTTGGGGAGAATTTTACACTACGCGTACGCGAGACCCTGTTCGCAAACGCGAAGCATTGGGGGGTTTGCTCTACGCGAATGCGACCCGTCACACGCGAACGCGTAGAGTCATTGTAGGTGCACTGGGAGTTGACCGTTGTTTTATGCGACCGCGATGCATGTATCGCGAACGCGAAGGTTGGGGGGATAAGCCAATGCGAACGCATTGAAAAACTCGCAATCGCGTAAGCCATTTAGGGGCAGCTCTTCGCGAACGTGACAGTGTTCACGTGCAAGCGATGAATGTCACACCTCCTTTTTCCTGAGAGGATAGGGAGTTTTTCCAATTAAAGTGACATTAATTGAAATGGGATTATTTATTTATTTCAAAGTCGCCACTTGGAATAGTTTAGGGTGTCTCAAGTCACCGGTTTATTATAAAATCCCAAATCGAGGAAATTGACTCTTATTATGGTCTGCAAACACAGAAGACCAGGTAAGGAATTCTGTTGACTCGGGAGAAGGTGTGAGGCACTCCCGAGTCCCATGATTTTAGCACGGTCGCTCAACTATTAATAATTGGCCTAATTATCAAATTTATTACATGATTTAAACCTATTGTGCATTTTTAACTTTCTAACCGCTTTTAAATTATTTTAAACAATTATGAAATTTGTTTGAACAAGTCGCGATGTCGCGCACTCGTTTGTTTTTGTACACATTGCAAATCGCGCCACGGGAATCGTGCCCACGATCTACAACATATTTATTTTATTAATGTTCCAAGTTATGGTCAGGTCACATGAAATGCGCGCCCGAATTGAGGATTATGTATCACGACTATACCACGGGAGCCGTACCCATAGCCGTGATGATTTAATTACACGTACCTAAAGCAACTATCACGTTTGAATTATTTATCCTACATTTGTGATTTATTGTAAGGTCACGTAGTATGGCAAAGGAACTGTTGGAGTTTAAGTTTTTTTCATACAGACTAAATCTTTGAAACGTGATTCGAACCAAGGGCTTAGATATCGTTTTGAGCTATTGTTTCATTGAAAAGTTATCTAACACTTACGTACTTGAATTACAAGGAAATGGCAAGACTAAACATAAAGCGATTATGGATTCCCTATACAAATTTCTACCAGTTAAGGTTGCATCCATTAGTATACTCAAATGGGTCTCTTTCGACCCTTAATGAACGTAGGGATGGGCCTCAGGTCAAAGCCCAAACTTATAGAGTAATTACTGCTGAAAATAAATCAACTTTTCTCAAAAATTCAGCATGTGCTTAACTTACACCATGATTAACATAATGACATGAAGAATGATATTCATACTGAATTAACACAATCAGAACATTTCAAAAGATTTACACAATGAATCACACCAAATTACTATATAACAACATTCCATGATTGAAAGTTATTCTCCTGAATAATAGGTATCGATCCTTTTGCATTTATACAACTGTATCCACCATTGATGAAATAAATCATTACATAAATTAAACTATTATATAAATGACCACTTTCAAGTAGTGGAACTTAAAAATCAAGCCAAGCACTGGCCAGACTTCTAAGTTTGTCACCAACGCTTTCAATTGTTCATGAGAAACAAATGACTATTTAGTTACAACAACAGAATATCCAACAAGTAAACATGCCAAACGGAATGGCTAATCTCTAGGCTACGTTTGAGTCTCCCAGACATGCTCTTACTCCACTGTTGTCACCAAACATTTTTCAATCAGATCCTTCTATAATGACAAAAGAAGGAGCTAAAAATAGCATCATTGCTGGTTAAATTTGCCATTCAAAACCTTTCAAAAAAAAAAGTGTATTAAACTCAAGTTCAAACCAAGTCATAAACGCACAAACAATAAACTGTTTTTTCTAAATCACTTCAAATCTACCAATAGACTGTACCAACTCGAAGATTTAACAAAATGTTTAGCATTACATATTGACTTGGAGCTAAACCAAATAATACAGAATTAGAAGCTTTAAACAAACACTTCTGCATCAATATGGAATCCAACAATTATTTCCAAACTTCGTATATACAACCAATGGAGGAACTGATACTTAGCTACATACCTGATTATAGTAGAACCAAACAAATAAAATATAAGTCTCTGAATTTTGACAGAAAAAAAAAGCAACAGCAGAAGTAAATGCAGCATCAACAAGAACAAAAAAGCCAACTCGAAATCCCAGCAACAGATGGAGTAAAACTAGTAAAATGGAAGGAAACACCAATTTGTAACTCAAGCAAAGCCAAATCAGTGTGAAATGAATAAAGGAAATCTGTATTTTTCGACAGAGAGTTCAAGGTGTAAAAAAATCAGTCTCCAAAAATGGAGAGAAGGGTGTGTATTTCGGAGGTATTTGGTGTGAAAAATCTGTGTCTAATCCCTTCTTCCTTATCATTAAAGTGAGTGTATATATATTACTCTAAACAAAGGGTGAGAGAGGGTCTGACAGGAAATAATTCAGCGTGAATTTAGGGAAGATGAGAGAGGGGGAGGGAATATTTTATAATTAAAAATTGCCAGCTATCCCCTTCTAGAAGCAGATTATCTGCTTGGGTCTGGGCCAAATGCTCTGACCTAAATGGCCCAATAACAGGCCCAAATCTGGCTTCAAAAGAGAAAAACCCAACATACAACAAAATGTCATATTTGAAATCTAATTATAATCAGAAATTTTACTGAAAGCTAATTTTTAATTAATCTAAATTAACTTATTAAACTAATTGAGCATACAACTAAAAATGAGACTTAAGTAACAATTCGAAAAGAAAATAAAGAAAGAAAAACAGAATAAGAACAAAGAAGAAAAGAACACTAATCCCTAAAAAAATGAAAGAATGAAGCAAACCGGCGAGCAAATGGAGATGATAAATTCGAACCGCCAGCTATGAATAGATCGGACTCCGGTAACTTTGCAATGGGTCGAAACTAATCTAAAACGATTGTTCTCATCAAGAGCACTCGATTCAGGTGAGCCTCGCCTCAAAATAAACGAAAATACCAAAGCAAATTGAAACATGCTGGACTAGGATTTTCTCTGGAATTTTAGATATAAAATTCACTAATTTTGGTGGGGTTTCTGGTGAAATTGAACGAATATATGAGATGCGGAGAGTGTGGTGGGTGTCTAGTATAAATTTGGGTGGGATTGGAGTGGCGCAGCCGCCATTGGACGATTTTTGGCGGCGGCAGACGGTGGAGATGAGAGAGATGAGAAAGGGTGAGGTCTGTGAGTGTTTTGAGGGGTTAGGGGTGTTTGGTCCGACCATTTTAAGAGATTTGGATGATGAGTTGCGAACAGTCGGATCATAATGATCCAACGGTTGCGATTAAACAAGATGAAACTGTGTCGTTTCATTTATTAGGGGTTTGACCGGATTTTAAACGGGTTTGGGCCAAATTTGGGGCGTATTTGGGCATTTTTGGGCCATTTGAGGCAGGCCCGATTCAAATGAATGCACAATTTCCTTCTTTTCCTTCTTTCTTTGTTTTTTCCTTCTTATTTCCTTTTTTCTTTTATTTTAAATCCTAAACTAATTAATTAAAAATCTAAATTCGGTCCTAAATCAAATCTAAATTGTGAAATAAACCTAATTAACTATTTCTAACATTTGAACAATTAATTAGCTTCAAAACACATAAGGAAATTACTAATTTAAAACTAGAAACTAAAACTGTAAAAATGAACAATATTTTTGTGATTTTTGTTTAATAATGCAATTAACTATCAACTTAATGCAAATAAAAACCTAAAATGCAATGCATGAAATTTTCTGACATTTTGTAGTATTTTCTTGTAATTTTCAAATATTAAACATGCAGCTAAATGCAAACAATAATTAGCAAGAAATTCCTAAAATCTATTAAAATTAAAATAATTAAAAAGAAAAAATTCCTATTTTGTGAATTATGTAGGAATATTTTAGTCGGGCAAAAATCACGTGCTCACAGCTGCCCCTCTTTGCTCGAAAATAGAGTTTTCGGGCAAAGATAAAATGAGCAATTACGAGCGATTTTTGCCCGTTTGGATATTCAATGGGAAGCATTTTGAAAAATTTTGACCGAACCTTTCTTCGGAGGATGCCTACATATCCTTGGCTATAAAGGAATCAGGTCAGTGTAGTTATGGAAGTTTTGATAGATGGGACTACCGAGAAACGGTGATTTCACTGCTATTGCTTCTTGTTAAGCTCCTTATTACACCCAAAATCATAATGAAAAACTGAACTATCTAAGCCTATCAACTACGAGTTACAAGATTCCTATCTATAAATCTTCTGAAGCTTGATCTTGAGTCTTGGCTGGTTCTTCATACAGACTCTGATCTGAATCTTGATGCTTGTTAGCTGCAGGTGCTGATTCATTCTTCTTCAGCTTTTCGGATCAAGGTGGGACATGCCAAGCTTGTGATTTCAATCATGTCTTGAGCAGTCCATATCTTTTATCCTCTTCTGCACTTTGAGTTCACTTCTTTTTCTTTTCTTCTTTCTTTTTTTTTAATTATGGATTGAGATGTCTTCTTTTGGTCATCTCGAAACCTGTGCCTCGAGGTATAATCTGCTCAGGCACCAAAGCAAACAAAAGAACGAAAATTTTCTGCCCCAGTTTTCACTCGAAAAATTTCGTAAGTTATTTGTAGAAAAATTCTATACTATTTTATTATTGAAAGCAAATAAAAGGCCGGATTGTGTACCCTCAGGAAAATAGAGATTAGGGAGTGTAGACCCTATATCTAAAATTATCAACTAGGGAGTGGAGACCCTATGTTGGAAAAGAGACTAGCGAGTGGAGACCCTATGTTTATAAATCATCAACTAGGGAGTGGAGACCCTATGTTGGAAAATCATAAACTAGGAAGTGGAGACCCTATGTTGCAAAATAGACTTGGGAGTGGAGACCATATGCCAAAATATCATCAACTATGGAGTGGAGACCCTACGTTGGAAAATCAGCAACTAGGGAGTAGAGACCCTATGTTGGAAAATCATCAATTAGGGAGTGGAGACCCTATGTTGGAAAAGAGACTAGGGAGTGGAGACCCTATGTCTAAAAAAATCAAATAGGGAGTGGAGACCCTATGATGGAAAATTATCAACTAGGGAGTGGAGACCCTATATTGGAAAAGAGACTAGGAAGTGGAGACCCTATGTTGGAAAAGCGACTAGGGAGTGGAGACTCTATGTCTCAAATCATCAACAAGGGAGTGGATACCCTATGTTGTAAAATCATCAACTAGGGAGTGGATACCCTATGTTGGAAAATTATTAACTAGGGAATGGAGACCTATGTTGAAAAAGCGACTAGAAAGTGGAGACCCTATGTCTAAAATCATGAACTAGGGAGAGGAGACCCTATGTTGAAAAATCATCAACTAGGGAGTCGAGACCCTATGTTGGAAAAGCGACCAGTGGAGACCCTATGTGTAAAATCATCAACTAGGGAGTGGAGACCCTATGTTGGAAAAGCGACTAGAGAGTGGAGACCCTATGTCTAAAAATTATCAACTAGGGAGTGAAGACCCTATGTTGGAAAATGCACATAGGGATTGGAGACCCTATACTACCATGATTTTGAATTTTCTTTCTTTTCATTTAATTTTTTTTATTGAGAGAATGAGTAAAATGCAGGAAAGAATTTGGTGGAGACTTCCATTTTGGAGTGATTATTGCTGCAGAAAGTCTCTGCGCAGTTTTCTTTCGTTACACCTGCTTCTTGCAAGGTTGCTTTGAATTACACCTGTTTCCTATTTTTCAAACAAAGAACAATTTGTCAATTTGAAACAGTGGTTGGTTTTGTGGCCTTGAGTGTTTCAGTCAATTGATCTCGGCCCGACTTCTTTGATGAAGATCTCAACTACAACTGCTTGTTCCCTGAGGATCGATTTCATTTCTGTCCTTGGAGAATCTTGGATTTTCCAGAACTTTACCATGATGGTTAATCACGTGGGACTTAACCTTTTTCAACTTTATTTCGCCTTCGTAGGCCTTTCATTTTGATTTCCTTTCTTTTAGGAGTTTTTGATTTCAAAGCATCGGCCATCATGGCCAGTCGAAGTCGACTCGATGCACCTGCCGAGGCCGGGTGCCTTCTTGAATATTGGCTCGTGTCGAACAAATGCCCTGTAAATCAATCTTTCCATCCCTTCTTTGTCTTAGTTTCGGAATAAAATTAAACTGAAAGGGATTCAAAGAAAAACAAGCAATAGAATGGATAAATGAATTTGGATGAGAGGTATCCCTTTCGGGGAAAAGAAAGAAGGACTTATCTGGAGTGCATCCGGACTTCAATGAACATGACATGCCTCTTGGACTGGATGCCTGATCTGTGTAAACCGTCCAACTCTCAGAAATTCATCACAACCTGTGCCTTCAAACCGAGAAACCTGTCCAGGATTCTGTTGATGCCGATAGTTGTGAGGATCCTCTTCTCGATCAGTGGCGCCCTTTGCAAGTTTTCACCAGCTGACCTCTCTAATTTCTCTTCTCACCGTCACCTTATAGTGCTCTTTGCGAGTTTTCAATAACAAGACTCTCTCATTTTTAATTTCTCTGCTTACCATCGCCTTATGGTGCCCGTGAGGGTTTTCACCAATAAGACTCTCTCATTTTATTTCTTCACATTTGGTGCAACAGATCCAAGTAACTGTATCTTCCAATTTTAACCTGTTTGCCGATCGATCAGAAGGACTTGAACAGGGTTTTGGGGTAAAAAGGATTTGGATTGAGTTGCAACTATGGAACCTTTTGGGCGAAACCGTTGCCGAACCATTATAACTTCTGCCCCAGTTTCAACTTTGGGGTAATGTGGATTTTTGTTTTTGTGTGACTGAACCCCAGAGAGAGGTTGCCTACTTATCCCTTGGGAATCAAGTCGAACGTAGTTTAAGGAACTTTGTTTTTGATTTATTTTGTTTTGTTTTCTTTTCTCTCTCTTTTTCCTTTTTTTCCCTTTATCTTTTTGCTTTTTTTTTTCAATAACACTTTTGGGTTCCAAAGAGGGTAATCAAAGAAAGGGAACCGGCTCAAAGATTTTGCAAGGGTTGGTAGTGTTTGGGTAGCGAGAATGAAAGCCTTCGTCATTCCAGTTGGAGCATGTTAAAGTTGTGTGAAGGGTCAAATATAATACCTTTTGACTACATCTGCATTGACGGTTGTCTCGGGATCATTCCCTTCGATGTCTCCCAAATACAGTGCTACCCTTGGCAACACTCTTCTTACAATGTAAGGACCTTTCCAATTTGGAGCGAATATTCCTTTTTTCTTCTTCATGATGCGGGAGAATACGTCTCAGAACGAGTTACCCTTTCTAGGCTGCACTTTCTTGTTGTAGGCACGGGCCATTGTTTGTTGGTACACGTGGCAAACTACTGCCATTCGCTTTTCATCAATCATAGTTAATTGTTCCAACCGGGTTTTGACCGATTCATCATCCTCGATCT